GTAAGCTGGACAGCTTAATTTCGCGATCGCGATATAATTGCTAAACAACTAATCCCTCGACTCGACAAAAAGCGTGCATGTATCATTTCGGCAAACAAAGAGCGGCGAGCGATCCGACACTGCGTGTTGTTGTCGTGCGCGCGGCATGTAAACATAAACACGCGGGCCGAATTCAATGTAACTTTAAGAGGTAATAAAAGTTCTCGTAAGTGATATTAACAGTACTTTCGAAGTGTTCATTTCGTATTAGTAGATAGTTGGTTGACTGACACTCGTTCCCTCCTGCTCTCCGATTTTCGTATTTAACATAGGTCATTACGTGCGCTCTTCGATACGATTACGCGGATAAATTAATTAAACGGTATCCACCCCGTTACAAACTACTCTTGTGTGACTATTTTTGATACTGACTGTAAGTATCCTTTTTGGGTGTTGTAGTGTACGAGGTGTATTCAAAAAGTAAGGTAACTTTTCAAATTTCACGGGCAACGTACTTTCGAATATTTGTTTTGTTATGTTGGTACACTCTTCCCGAACATCTGTTCCATGTACCAAGTTTCAAGTGTATAGCATTTTTTGTTTGGTTGTGAGAGGCGTAAAGGTTGTAAGTGTTTTGCGTGCTCGGCGATTTCTTGCTATCGAAAAATATGGATCAAAGGATTTGCATCAAATTTTGTGTAAAAAATAAAATAAAGTGCTCCGAAACACTTGAAATGTTGACGGTGGCATACGGTGAAACTGTTCTGAGTAAAAAAAATGTTTACAAGTGGTACAAACTCTTGCAAGATAGCCGGGAAGATGCCAATGACGAGCCTCGCTCTGGACGCCCAAGCACATCAACAACTGATGAAAACGTTCAAGCAGTGAAGAAAATTGTTCTGGAAAATCGTTGAATCACTATCAGAGAAGTTGCTAAGCATGTTGGTATATCGCTTGGCTCGTGCCAGGAAATTTTTTCTAACGTTTTGGGCATAAGACGTGTGTCAGCAAAGTTTGTTCCGAAATTGCTAAATTTTGACCAAAAGAACCGTCGCATGAGCATCGCTCAAGAACTGTTGAATGACGTCAACGACGACTCAGATTTACTCAAAAGGGTCATAACTTGTGACGAATCATGGGTATATGGTTATGATATCGAAACCAAAGTCCAATCATCCCAATGGAAGAGCCCAGATGAGCCAAGACCGAAAAAAGCACGCCAAGTTTGATCAAATGTCAAAGTTTTGCTCACTGTTTTCTTCGATTACCATGGCGTGGTGCATCAGGAAATCTTACCATATGGACGTACGGTCAATAAACAGTATTATCTTGAAGTTATGCGCCGTTTGCGAGAAGTAATACGAAGAAAATGATATCGGTTTTAACGATCTCGGTTAACTTTTGAACTAGAAAAATTTTTTCGTTTTGATTTTGTCGAGTTTTTTAAGTTGTTCAAAACCGTTAAGTCGAAAAAATTGTTGGCATCAAATTCAAATTTTTATAGCGTTTTAATTTTTTTCTTGAAAATTAAGAAAAACACATTTCTGGAAAAAATATATTTTATGTATTTCTACTCTGAAAATACGCCTATATTTTTTTGAGACTTTTAAAATTGGTGGAACAATCTGTGACGAGAGCAAGCGTTGCGCTTGTTCTCGTCGGTATTTTCCCCAATTCCCCCTCTCTCTCGGCAAAGCACGGTGACCAGTGTTAGGCGCATTTAAGAATGCGCCTGATACATGGTCTTTGTTTCAGCCGACGGAGAATGCCGAGCGAGACCGAGCCGGCCCGAAGCTGTTACGCTGGCGATAGAGTATAGAGGTGTTAGAAAGAGAGAGAGAGAGATTTAGGGACGTGCGTGCCCTACGCAAAAATCGGCAGGCGCGCGTCACGAACCAATTGGCGCATTGGTCGCGCGTCTCCTAATAAGTAGGTCAAGTTAGGAGAGAAAAAGAACGAAGAAGAAGCTGTCGATCGCGGAAAAGAAAACGAACGACACAGACGGTACTGAGTCGAGCAGTCAGAGAGTCAGAAGGTTTCCATTAAGACGGTAGACGGTCAGCGGTGAAAAGTCGAAGTGCAGTTGAGGACAAAGGGTCAGCCAAACGCATACGCCACCAAGGAGCCGAGAAAGACCGAGAGAAAAGAGGACGACTGCCTTGTTCCAGCATCTGCTCGGGACGCTACCCGGAGAAGCCGGCAGGAGTTGCCCAGCGACGGCCAGCAACATCGTGCGCAGGGCACACCCAGGCCTCCCGTTCCAGTATTGAAGGTCAAGTCTCGCAAACTAATCTTTCTCTCTCTCTCTTTCTCTCTTTCTCTCTCTCTCTCTCTTTCTCTCTCTCTTTCTCTCTCTTTCTCTCTCTTTCTCTCTCTCTCTCTCTCTCTCTTTCTCTCTCTCTTTCTCTCTCTCTCTCCAGCGATATGGCTCAGCGCGTAATTGTAAGTGTCAGGTGGGTAGCATGGCATGCACACGCCGGCTACCTGCCCTAATTACGGTGCGCGTCATAAATTGTTCAAATAGAAAATCGTCTAAGCGATCCCTTGCCGGGCGACTTTCTCTTTTAGTTAAGTAGGCTAAGACGGTTCGACGTCAAGGCGGTCATCTGCCGGGCCACATAACAAAATTTGATAAAATGTCGGTGGTGTATATCGTATAGATTTGTAAGCGCGATAAGATAGTTAACTTCTTCTTTGTTCTCTATTGTTCTATAGTGTTAAGACCTGATAGCAACACCGTTGTGTTCATTAGGCTAAGAATTTGTAATAGTTGATTATAAGAGTTCGTATTATAATACGGTTTATTCTTTTGTGGTTGTTCATGTACGGTTTTGAAATTTAAGTGTAATTTTACTTTGATTTGATATGAATTAGATTTGTTTGAATGCGAATTTTTGTTGTGTGTATAATTCCGTAACCACTTTCACTTCTTTACCTTTCCCCCCTTCCCGCCTCAATTGCTATGAGCGAGTGTGCCTCACTTGCCCACCTTAAAAATTGATAACGAACGAGCTTTCGCTACATGGCATCCCTTGTGGAGCTAGCAATTGAGGTAATGGGAACGGAAATGGTAAATTAATGAATGGTTAATTGGGAATTTTCCGTTGTATACCAAGGGCAAAACGCGCGCACAAAGAAAAGAACCTCTAGTTCCGTGTTTATTTTTCTAGGAGTGTTTTGTCTCGGATTACTAGTGACCTTTTGTCGGTGGAGGAGTCGGGTGTCGGCCGTAAGTGCGTCGTTTGGTTGTTTTGACACCGGACCCGACCTTAAACATTAGAATTGGGCATATCTCGAGTTTTCTTTCTTGGGCATATGCAAGGCGATCGCTCGCCGGCTTAAAGCCTGGAAGAGAATTCGAGATAAAATGTCGGTGGTGTTGAACTACATAACACGCGATAAAGGAACGCTGCCTCGATATTTTAAACTTCGGTTTCCCACGGAAAGCTCAATTCATTAAGTCGTTTTTTGTGAGCGTTGGTTGAACAAAAAGTTATTGGGTTATTTGAAAAATGGAAAAAACATTTTCATTTAAAAGGCCTTACACCAAAATAAATCACAGTTAAGTTGAACGCCGTTCTTTGCAAGTCTGCCCCTGTGTTTAAGACTGTTTATAATTTGGTAAATGAATTTAAACGCGGCCGTACAACAACAAAAGATGAACCTCGTTCAGGATGCCCCGTAGAAGTAAGTACGCCCGAAATGGTCAACAAAATCCATGATATGGTGTTGAGTGATAGAAGATTAAAATTACGAGAATTAGTTGAGGCCATAGGGGTATGAAAGGGTACAATCATTACAATTTTGCATGAAAAATTGGGAATGAAAAAAATATCAGCAAGATGGCTGCCGCGTTTGCTCACTGTTGAAAACAAACGAACCCGCGTGGTCACCACTGAGGCACTTTTGGCACGCATACGTCGTAATCCGGAAGACTTGTAGCGTCTACTCGTAACTGTAGACCAAACATGGGTACACCACTACACTCCTCAAACCAAAGAACAGTCCAAACAAAGGATTACCGCAGGAGAAATAGCCCCAAAGAAGGCAAGGACAGTAAAGTCAGCTGGCAAGATTATGGCCACAGTTTTCTGGGATGCGTATAGAATCATCTACATCGATTATTTGGAAAAGGGCCAGACGATCACTGGACAATATTATGCGTCATTATTAGGTTAGCTGAAAGAAAAAATCAGAGAAAAACGTCCTCACTTGAATAAAAAAAATGCCTCTTTCTTCAAGACAATGCTCCAGTTCACACGTGTGCAGTTTCGATGGCAAAAATTAACGATTTAAAGTTCGAATTAATTGACCATCCACCATATTCGCCTGATTTGGCTCCCAGTGACTTTTTCTTATTTCCTAACTTCAAAAAATGGCTTGCCGGACAATGATTCACGTCGAATGAAGAAGTCATCGCCGAAACAAATGCCTATTTTGAGGGTTTTCAGAAATCATATTTTTCTGATGACTTAAAAAAACTGAAAGGCCATTTAATAAAATATATCGACCTTTAAGGAGATTATGTTGAAAAATAAAAAACAATTAAATACGCAAAACTTTTTTTTCCTTCTTTTTGTAAAGACTTATTGACTCCCCCTCGTATATAACATTACCTCTACACGGAACTGACAATTGTCACCAATACACTATTATTTCGACAGTTTTCTCCAAAGTTTGGCACGAAGATCATCATTTCTTAATAAAAGCTTGATTCTCGACTTTCGTAAGCGATGAGCCAATATCAATCCACTCTGAGCAAGATAAAAAATGAAATATCACAACCCTCAAAAATGAGACACCTACCGCTAGATTACTTTATCATCCTAAATACAACCTGCACCCTCATTTGTATCCTCAGAACAACTGATTGTGAGTATGTTTCGACTGGGGAGGGAAGGTATAATAGCAGTAAAGACATTAATCCATGTCTAGTGGAAATTACTACCATTTATCCAAATAGTTTACAAGTTCTTTCTAAAAATACTATATACAGCAACAAAATTTAAAAAATTATTTACCTCTTTGCCTTTGGTTTCTCCTTTTTCAAACCATTCAACCGTGACACTTTGTTGTTGCCAATTGACGCCTGACACAATAGCTGAATGGACTCGCCCTAAACAAAAGAAAAAAACCACAATATAAAAACGAAATTAATATAAACTAATTAATTACAAAATTTAATGAATTCTAAAAATACACATATTACTAGGAATAAAATATTTTTTACAAATATAAACTATAAACTATTTAATTTAGTATTGCTGGATATATTAAATATCTTAATTAGGTAATTAATTGAATAAAGTTTTAAATTTGTTTTTGAATTAATAATAAATACGATGGATTGAACTACATTACATCTTTAATTTTTTTCCTGGAATTGACTACATTTGACTATATTGATTCATTTCTGATTTTGAACTAAAATCATGGACGAAATGAGACTTTCTGTTGCATTTGAGAGAATAGGATCTTGCCGTTGAATTCTACTTTTTGAATAATTGCATGCTCATTCTTTTGTTTAGAGGTTAACTGTAACTGCACAAATGAATAATGTACACTTATACTAGATGTGCGGAACTACATCTTTACGTACGCATTATAGGAAGTAATTCGAGAAGAAATCGCTAAAGAAACAATCTAAATATTAAAGTAAGTAAAAGGTTGATGAGGAAAAAAATCAAGTCCTGCTGTGTGGCAAATTTTGTTCAGGCAATCATAGTGATAAAATTTTAAATTATCCCTATTAGCGAAAGTCCTAAAAACCAAACGATTTACTTTCTACACTGAGCTTTCTTTCAAAACTAAATTAACTAAATAACGTTGGTACTTACATGATAAAATTACATATCAATATAACCTTATCCCAAATCCCCAAATCCTTATTACCCCAATTCCCGTCTCTTATACCTGTGAACATATAACTTCAGACCTCTGAATCCCAATTACCTTAATCCCCGACTCCTGTAACCTGTAATTTTAATGTTGTGAAACTGCTAAATATTTAAAATTAATTACTGATATTTCGAAATGAAAGAAAAAGATATCTCCAATCCAAATAATGGAGTTTAAAGGGCAAGAGCGTTGCTTTACGATGGGTTTACTGGTTAATGGAAAAAGTTTATTCACAGTGTTACATAATCTAGAACATAAAAAATAATTGTGGTTTTCGCCTTTTTAGGTTAGGATATTTAAAGAACCTCAGGTGATGGATTCATTCCGAAGCCAGATTCAGATTCAGCGCATTTAATACCTTCGGAAATATACTGTCGCATTTTTGGGTTTCTTTGGATGTCTGCCTGCGTTATCTGTATTTTAATATTATAATTCTGTTTAATAGTTATAAGTTCTTTATTTAATAATAACAATATTAAGTAATTGTGGTACAATCATTGGTTATTGACATTCATTGCACGTAGTTCATTAATCTTTAAAATCTATGATATCATTATGTTTTCTTGTTATTTCACATTTTTTGGGATTTTTGTTAAAAGTTCCAGTAAGTATTTTCAGAAATTAGAAAATAGAAAATGTTTAAAGATTTACATAAGCAATCAAAGTCATCGGTGATATTAAAGATATTACTTTAATATAACGAATAGTGATTACCATTTTACCCATGCGATAGTGTTATGTATTCGCTTTTATATTACAATACTTTTGATCTGTATTTCGACTGAATCAGATTTATCGCGGCTAAAATTCTCCTAATAATATTTAGATCGAGATGTAACAGAGTTGTTCGTATCTTGTTGGATTGTATACGTGTTGTGCTATTGGTAGTAGTTTGTTCCAATCAAGGTTATTTTATATATAAATTTGGAATTATTCCTTTATTGTACTATTTCATCTTTCGATACCCCTTAATTGTGTAAGTGCTGTTACGTATAAAGCAGTGCTTCTATATTTATTTATTCTGAAAGTGTCCGCAAATTCGTTCAAAAGATTATTTACAAAGTGCGTGCCTTGGTCAGTAGTTAAAATATTTTAGTGTTTTTAAATAGCACATTAATTTTTTTATTAATGCACGCTACTTACATCCGCGTTTACCGTTAGTATAAATAATGTAATATTGAGTAAAGTAGCTTGTAAGACTATAGTGTATTTATGGTTTTTTCTGTTGGATGCATAGGATTAATTTGTGCAAATGGCTTGGGTTACATTTTTGTCATAAGTATAGGTAATCAATATTATGCACAAAAATGAAGGGATTGTGGCGGGGAATTTCGGGGGGTCTTAGACGCGCTCTCGAATCTCTTCCGCCACAAGGCCTATTTAATAGGGCCTAATATCGCAACGTACTCCGATTTGCTTTCAGGGCGACTGCGCAGTGTGAGCAAACGTAAGAGGACTCACGATCTCCTCTATTTCAGGCCTTGATGTCCAATAATGTGGTCGTCTTCTTCTTCGTTTGTAATATGCCGGCAGCTTAGGTTGTGATACCCTACCTCAGGTCGGAAGTTCGTTCCAATTCGCGCGTATGTCACCTATCGTGGGAACCGATAAATAACGAACCAGTGTTTTCCGATTACAACCGTCCGCGGCTGAAAATAATCAGCATGTAAATAAGGTAGGGTAACAAGAAGCAAAATTTATAAAGAAAAATTGATCACTCTTTATTAAATTTATTTCACCCTAAATACGCACGTGGTATTAACTAGTAATTAACTAAAGGTCAGTATAATTCAACACAATTCTGTGTAACAGCAAGGACACGAATTAATAGAGAAACTAAAGTTCTTTCAGTCGGTCTTTGATTAAACGAAAATGGCGGAATGGTCAGCGCGACGTAATCGAAGAAATACTACCTGGTTTAATTAGGCTTAATCTTTAGCTACGTCCTAATAATCGAACAATTAGTTAGCGCAACCTATCTCAACTACTAACTAACTTCCGATTAATTTAACACTCATTCTACATTCGGATAAAGGCAAAAGGTCAGCGCGAATGATCTAAACACTGATTTCCTTTGCTTAATTTTAACACTCACGTTAAATTCCAAGAAATGGCGGAAAGGTCAGCGCGAATCACTTGAAACAATAAGTATTGACGTCGACGGATCCACGCGTCGCGGCGACCTGTTATACCGAGAGATTCATACCCGTACTCCGTGATTTCTAATAGTGAGTGGCACTTTGCCTACTTACAATTTTCTGCTGAAGATTCGACAAGCGAAATTACTGCGGGAAGAACTAGCATAATCACTCCTTCTGGCTAGAAGAGTAGCGGTTAAATGGACGAGAATCGGCTTTTCGCGGTCAAAGATCGCTCTTCTTCTCTTTCCGAGAAGAAATACTATTATTGGTCGATATGCTAATTCGGATATCGGTAGCGCCCTCCGAATATTTCATCATTGGTCCGTATGTAAATTAGAAAGATACAGCGCGCTTATTTATTCTTCTACTTTCGTCGTTATTTACCCTCTCTCTCCCCCCCAAAAGTTAGCTAGCATTGATTGATGGGAAAGATCTACCCCTACTCTTATCTATTTTTATATGCGGACGGAAATCAAATTTTATTCTAACCCGCTTATTGGTCGTGACGTCACCAGCGAGTTTCGTCAGAGGTTCGAATTTTATCAGTCAATTTATCAATTCAATTTGTCGGAACGTTGGTCGCTTATCATTACATAAAGAGGGTTGTCGGTCGCATACACATTTTTCTAATTCGGTATTTTTCCATTTTCGTTTTTAATTTCAACTTAAATTAATTGCGAGTAATAATTTAAGTCATTTCATTCGTAGCGCCCTCATCTTCGCATTTACATTTAATTCTATTCATCATTTCACTCGTTTCATATAGTCTATCTCGCTCGCTCCCGCTTAGTCTGTCTCGCTCGCTCATATTCAGTTTGTCTCGGCGCTTCAAAATGGCCGCTCGCTCTCTCGCGCGTGCACTCCGTACTCCGATACCGGTCTTTGTAGCGCCTCCTGCAGCGCTCCTGTTTTGGTCAGGTGATGTGTTTTCGAGTGTTTGTTTTTCCGGGTGTCATTAGTGATCATCATTGTAAATATATGGTATATATATATATACACAGCTGATTGCCGGCTGCCACTTCATGGGCGAATTTCTGCTCGCTCCAGGTGTGCCAGCGTTCCACGAGTGTTAGTGTTAGTACCTGTGAGTGTAACGGATCTGCATGTGTAATCAACATACATTTCTGTTGCATTTCCTAGTTAAGTTTCCCATGCTTTTTTTCTGGTCGGCAACACGTGGTCGTGAGTGAGTGTGTGCGTGCACTCTCTTATTTTGTAGTGCGCACCATTTTTAAGTGTCCATCGGATCGCGTTCATCTAGCTTGCTTCGTTAATTTCTCCGGTGTTATTTTTCGGACATAAAAAAAAATGAGTGTTTGTTTTAGGGCGCGTCTGGGTTCGCGTTATACGACTGGTTACGGGGCGGCAAGAGACAAGGATGGCTTTCCTGAGGTGTTGCAAATAATGTAACACTCTCAGGCAAAGCCTTGTAACGTACCGTATTACAGGATATAAAAAATATTCTAATTTTTCGGGGTCATTTTCAACCAAGAATATCTTGGAGAAGAACAGTCGTACAAGAAATAAAAAGCCTAACCTAAAAGTTAAAAAAACACTATTTTTTTTCATGTTTCAGTACATATTACATAGTGAATAAATTTTTTTTTCTTAAAAACGGGTTCTGCCTTTTAAAAGTAGCATTCTCATCCTTCAAAATCCTCTTTTAATTTTTCGAAAATTTTTTTTTCTTCAAAGATATTGTTAATTGAAGTTTAATATTTTTCTTATTTTGTCACAGCCTTGTAATCAATGCGATTTTCCTAGAAAGCAGATAATATAAACTTTTACGTTTTATAAGTAACTTAATACAAATCCCACGATAGAATTCTATCATAACCTAAAATTTTGAGATTTTCTAACCTAAAATTGTGTGATCTCAGATTTTATCGTTGAGATGTCCTGTAAATCAGGTTGAAAAATACAGAAATATATTAGTTTAGTGTTTTTCTGATCAAGTAATGTTTATTGAGTAATTGACAAAATGTTTTAGGTACATTTATAGCTGTAGTTACCAAATAAGTATAAATTTATTTATAAAGACGAATAAAAGCATTTATAAAGAAAAATAAGTATAAAT